TGGGTGTGTGTAGCAGGAATAAGAAGTGGGTGTTATTTAAATTGTCACTGCTACCGAAACAAACACTCAAATTACAACTTAAGAGCAAATGACTACTGCCATCATCACTAACCTGTGGAGTTTCAAGGAATTAACAATAGAAAGGCAATCTGGCATTCCCCTTGCTTTGACCCCTCAACCCAAACTACCTGCTACTTTTGTTTACTCAGATTTTGTCCTAGCAGCCTCAAACTTTAGAATTGTCTCACTACTGCAAGGCTTAATGTGCAAGTTTTTAACCCCCCACCAAAGACCTCTTGAAAAGTAACCGACTGTATTAACCACCAATAACAAATGGACCAGGTCTATCCAGGCAACTAACCAGACAAGTGCTAACTCACACTAGTTAACCTCACTATCTCTAGCTGTGTAAGCATCACAGGCACTGTTGGAATATATTTCCACAAAACAAAAAAAGCTATTTGAGAAAGAGGTGGACAGGAAAGCTGCAAAGAAAGGCCAAGAAACCAGCTATACCAGCACCCTCAAACAGGTGAATTTAGGTGTATCCAGCTGTTAACAACACAGAGCATCAAAAAAAAAAAGCAGTCATCCTATTCAAGTTTATTTAAAATTACAAAGAAACTGAATATAATGGGACTTACTACATCAGGCCCAAATCTTTATCTGGAACACAGGACTGACACAATAACACTTCAGACCCTACACACTGCCAAGTGCCACAACCACCCACATGTTTTACCAGACATCTGAGACACAATCCGCTGCCTTGATGCTCCAAATGCAATACTGCTTGAAACAAGATGAGTTACAATAAGGAAATGAGCAAAAATGGTGAGAGGTACAACAGGTTCCAGTCTTTGCACGCTGCAGCTTCCTCAAAACTGATAAGCTTATTAAGGCCTCACAGAAAAGGATAAAGCTAAAGCAAAAGCCATGCCTAGTCTACTTTCGCCCACATGTAACACTTCCCTGCCTCCAAAGAAATCACCAAGACCTTCCCGAGGTGAACCACCGCCTTCCTCTGCTCTCTACATTTATATTATTACAGCAGTGTCTTGCACCTCCTCCCCTCCTCTCTAAACTGAATTCTAGAAAGCGTATTTATCAGTGATGACAGAGGCTTTTGTTTCTAGGAGTTTGGTAAAGCAATCAATACAGAAAACAGCCATGGATGCATCTTTAACTAGGCAACTTGTGTTAACTAGAAGATCACCCAAGGCCAATGCACTGCTTAACATATTACAAAACATGGACCAATGTATTCTTAATAATTCAGATCCTGGACCTCTCCTGAAGGTCTAAGCAGCAAGGCCAACCGAGATACTGCATGAATGGACAGCCTGATTTACAATCAACTCCAACCACACATGAAGATATAACGGGTTGTTACTCAAACCAAAGCTGGGGTTGCATCGCAGATGGCAAATAATTAAATTCTCGTCTAATATTTAAAATCAGGGAAAGATTGCTACATATTCATGATGAGGAACCATTTAATTGCAAGCACAATTCTAACAGCCGGTTGGAAATGACAGGCTTTCCCACAGAGCAAAAACTAACAGATCTCATTATTCCTGACATCAGGTAATAAATTCCCTGAAGAGCACAGAGCACAATTTAACAAGGCAAAGGTGTTCTGCTTGGCGGAAGAGGTGGTTTCTCAGCACACTGAGCCTGAAGGGAAAAGCGCTGCTTCTACCAGAACCAGGGAATATCTCCCCTCTAAGACCTCACACAACCGCTACAATAAGGTTCCGAACACTCTTCTCCAGTTACTGTTTCTACATGATTCTTCCAGGAAAAGGATTTTCCTGCAAGAAAATATTGCCCATCATTGCGGGAGATACCACTAAACTCACGCTTTCCTCCAACACGAGTCTTGGTACATTCTCACTAACGCACAAGCTTTGGAAGGAAATGGATGTTGATACTTAGTGTTTAAGTCATGTAGCAGAAGTAGCTTGCCCATATGGTTTTTTTGAGGGAAAAAGACTGAATAAATGAAGACATAATACCAGACATCCCGGGTGGCTTCCAAGATGATGTAATTTTTTAAAAATAGCTTATTTCTTATAGGTCTCCTTTGAAATAGAGGTTACCCATGTAAATTCTGAACCAAGTGTGTGAAATGAAGTTATAAATATATTCTGCAGCAATTACTAGAAGAGGTCTCAAGTGCTAAATGCATGTGTACAGTTAAAACCTTGCTCTTGATTCAGCACGGCTTCACGTAGCAGTTCTAAGATGAACAATAGGTACAGAAGGTAATTTCTGAAAGCAAGCGGGTTCTGAAAGCTTGGGGAAAAGATTATTTTGACCATTTCAACTCATTGCAAGTGGGGAAACTTATATTTCTCTTTAATTTATTCCTTTTAATTTAAGGCAGGTCCTCAGAGTTAACCAAGATGTGTACATACCACAAAGACCTTCACAGCTACACTGGAATTAATATCCACAATGGAGAAAGAGCTCATATTAGAGAACGTATCAGCGAAGCTTAAATTTACAGTGCTACACAGTAAAGCACTCTAAAGAACCATATCCTCCTCCTCAACCTCACAAAACTGGGCAGGTTTTTGCACACCTGTCAATATTAGTGCGGTTTTCACCCTCTCCAGAAACACACACGTAACTACGCCAACAATTATATTGAAAAGTCTCATTGAAATCCAGGCCTCAAACCTTGACTTTCTCAGTAAATAAGGAAGTCAGTCACAATAATGAATACCGTAAGTTTGAATCCAACCACTTCTTTTAGGAGAAGATTCTAAAACCCAGAAGAAAGTAGTCAGAGTTTTCTGTGAGTACCCACAAGTGCAGCAGCTCGTAGCTGCACTGACTCCTTCCTGTGGGAAAACATCAGAACAGTTTCTTCTACTTTTAAACTGGTGCCCAATTGCGATTAAATTCAGAATCTGCTTCTGAGCGTGTTCAAAACTTAAGTTTTTCTTCCCTGCATGAAAGCATCATGACAGGTAGTTTTATTGCTTGTTTACCACATATTCTAAATGTTTTGGAGAAAAAAGTCTGAGATCTAAGCCTGCACAATGAATCTCAACTACACCACCTCTGCTCTCCTTCAAAGAAAAGGTTAAAATGGAAGACAGCCCCCTGCCTACAGGCATTTCTAAACAATGGGCTGATTTTTCTGCCACCAATTATTGCCCTGGATAAGTATCAAGTATGTAGAATTATAATTTAACATACATTACTCCTAAGCTTATGGGGCTACTGACCTGCTGGAAGCTCAGCAGAACTACTGGCTGATGCTCTAACTTCCCCCTGCAGACACCTGCCTGGTTATTTCTGGTCTCCCTCATCACAACCAAACTGCAAGCTCCTTCCCAGCCTAATGTAACATTAAGGTATGGAGAAAGGGAAAAGTATCCATCACAAAATAATACTTCCTGGCTGCTTAATTCCGCACAGCAACAGTGTTTTAGAAAGTAACACCAGAATTAGGGTAACCATTGCTGCTGACAGTTTTTAAGTTAAAAGAAACCACAGATCTGTTAGAATTTTATTAAACTTGGTTGAATCTGGCTCTAATGCAAAGTGAAAAATTTGCAGCCACAAAAAGAGAACTCAGAGCAAACAAAATTCATGAAGTCTACTAACTGACATTTCAGCAAGATCCACGTTAAAGCACTGCAAACTCAAACAACTTTGACATTTAAAAGCCCACAATTACCATTATAATTCATTACTGTTACTTGAACATGTAATATTGCAGCTCATGACAAATGTATATCACAGGAGGTTACTAAAGAAGCTACAAGGTCAGGGTGATTTTTCTTCAGTTTTCATGTCATATGCAGGCCACTCGAGGATGTTTCCAAATGGCAATAACTTTATTAGCTACTTTATGACATCAATACAGCTCTATTACAAAAAAACACTCGCTCAGACAGAAGCAGGTATGGCTTTAATAGAACCAAAATACCATTTCACATACCCAGCCTCCTGGAATAACACACACACACACATTCAACCTGACATACCCATAGCTGCCCCCACAAGCTGCAGATGGCCAAGACAAACCCACCTTTGCGTCCTGCTGTGGTGACTGTTGACCTAAGATTCAAAAATCTGACAGATTGCAGGCTCTGCTGTCGTCTCACAGCAATAAACAGCTAAGCAGAGAACTGCTTTAACGTGCCAAAAAAAACCCTTAGAAAGAGCAAATGATACTTTGGACAACCACCACTTCAATGTTAAGGCCACTTGCAAGTAAAATACACGCCAACTTCTGTGCTTAAACTACATCCCAGAAGGAGCAGATAAGCTCATTAGCGTGCTGCAGGAAAGGATAACACTGGAGAGAGAGGCTGCTCGGTGCTGGAGCAACTCCAGAGCCCCGAAGACACCGGCGAAGCCCTCCCGGCGTCCCCGGAGCCAGGGGGACCCCACGGCCGCTGCCGGAGGGGGCGACAGGGGCCGAGGAACAGGTGGGCGCCCCGGAAGGTCCCAGCGAGCCGCGGCGGAGCCCGGCCCAGAGCCCCCTGCAGGCCGCGCCCGAGCCGCGGCCTGGCGTCGGGAGGCTGCCGGGCCGCACGCCGCATGGCCGGGCAGCGCCGACCGGGCCCCGGGGGAGGGCGGGGGGGGTCCGTGCGGCGGCGGGGGGCGGCTGCGGCCCCCGGGGGAAGGAGAGGGAAAGGCCTCCGCTGCCACCGCCCCGGCGGCCCCGTGGTCCCGGCTCGGGGGAGGGGGCGGTGAGGCAGCGGCGGCAGCGGGACCCCCTGGGCGGGCAGGGTGCTGGGAAGCTCCCCGCTACCGCCCGCAGCGGAGGCTTCCGGTGCCCGGGGAGGAGCCGCGGTCCCGGCGGGAGGGGAGGCGGCGGCGGCGCGGCCCCGGTGCCCCCCTCGGACAGCGGCGGGGGAACGGCGGGGTGGGAACCCCGGGGGGAGGGGGGCGGGAAGGAAAGGGGGGAGGAGGCGGTGACCGGCGTCCCCGCGCTGCCGGCACGGGAGCGGCGGGGCCCGGCGGGCCGTACTCACGTTGCTCTGCGGGTCGATGGCCTGCAGCAGCCGGTCCCTGATCTGCTGCGGGGAGGGGGCCGGAGCCGCTGTCATTGCCTGGGCGAAACGGGGCGGCTGCGGCCGGGGCAGGCGGGCGGCGGGGCCAGGCCGGGCCGGGGCGGCGGCTCCTCACTCGCCGGCGGCGGCGGCCTCTTCGGGAAGCCGGAGTCGCATGTTTCGCTCCCCGCGAGGCGGGGGGCGGCGGGGCACGGAGGGGCCGGCAGCGGCGCGACCGGGCCGAGCACGGCTGTTCCGCTCGGGGCCAAACTCAACTGTGGGCAGGAGCCAGCCCCGCGCAGGGCACCCTGGGACACGCCCGACGCAATAACGCACGGCGCGCCCCTGACGCCCCGGCGGGCCCGGAGAGCGCCTGCGCGGGAGAGGGACGGCGGGGGGGAATGCGCATGCGCATGCGCGGTGGGCGGGCGCGATGGCGGGCGGCGGCAGAGGAAGAAGAGGAGGAGGAGGAGGAGGCAGGAACCGGGTGCCGGCCCGGCGGGCGCCGAGCAACGCTCCCCGGCCCTTTATAGAGAGGCGGGCCCGAACGCCTGAGGGAGCTGAGCGTCGTGGGGAGGAGAGGGTTGAAGGGAATAAATATCGGAAATAAAACCATCGCTGCGCGGCTGTTGTAGACCTAACGCGAGGGGACGTGTCTTAGGGCAGGCTGGCAGGAAGGTAATGCGGTCCTTTAAGTTGTGAAAAGGCCAACGTGCTCTGGGAAGAAAACAACAAAAACAACAAAAAAAACCACTAAAAGTTTTTTTGTTTTTTGTTTTTTCCAAGATGCAGAACTTTGATTTCATTATTTTCAAAATAATGGGTGAGGTAAATTTCCAGCCACTACCTGGAAAGGTTAACCCTACAAAAACTGAAAAAGTAGTTCCTTAAGCAGAAGTATTTCCAAGTCAGGTTTTCAGAAGCTTGTAACCCAAAAATGGCCTTGGTACAAAAGCAGCTTTACAACCCAAAACTCGGAGTGAAAGGTGTCCCTGCACCACATGGGGTAAGTGACCAGACCAGCATTTAAAACTTCCCAAAGCATTAGAGAGCAACTCAAAACTAATTGGTAATTTTTTAAAGCACCTGCTTAGGAGCTGAATGACAACTTTTATTCTTGTGGACAACTGAAACCTTGAGGCAACAGCACGCTAGTAAAGCACACAATCTATTTGGAGTGATAAAATTGTCCATGTTCCTTTACCAGTAGAGCTTGATCATTCTCTCTTTCCTGTATCCAAAGCGTTGCTCAGAAAGCAGACTCCCAGTTCTGCACAGGATCAACCACTTTTCTGAGTAAGAATTAAACCCCTGAGTGCTGAGTCCAGGGGCCTCTCGCGGGTTACGCACAGACTGCAACAGCCACCCCCACCTCTCCCCTCCCTGCTGCGGGGGAAGACTTGGTTCAGTGAAGATTAGAGAAAAATGTTTTCCAAGAATAGTACAAAGCACTCAATTTTGGTCAGGTGCCATGACAAGGCAGCACACTGCATTTTTTTTTTCTTATTCAAAGGAATCAGAACAAGATAAAAAATAATACAGAAATTAGAGACAAGTAATGTGTTTAAATTTAACCTAGGATTGTAAGTTTGCTGGGCAGTTCATGCTTGAAGGATCCTTTCCTCAATACATTTTTCTATGTTTATTACAGCAAGGCATTCTTCCCTCAAGCTCTCCTTCCCCTTTCATGTTTCATGAACACGAAAACTTCAGTTAATGCAGAAGTGGGTGACTTAAGTAAGTTGTTGCGAGTGCCCAACACTTTGTCTGACTACCTGACTGCACCCAGATAAAATTCCATGTATAGGCTAAAACATGAACTTCAGATTCATTTAAATGAGGCCTCTCTCTCCTTCTCAGCAGTCAGACAGGCAAAGAAATAGAGGCTGCGGAAGATTCACTAGTAGTTTAGTTTTGATTTAGTTTGGTTTTGCAGTTGATCAGCACTGCATTCTCTCTTCAATTATCTTGGTGATGCTGGGGGAAGTTACTGGTCAAAGAGGCTAAGTCAACATAATTAAAAATAACACAAGAAGCCAGACACAATTAGAAGACTAGCTAAAATTTCTCAAAAAACCACACCAATACCGAATTTCTTTTTCTTGAACAGAACAAACACAACATCAAATAGACATTTTACCCTTAAATAGAACAACTTTATTGAACCAAGTCCAAGATTATTTCAATACTATTCCTTAGCATTTGGTTACAATATTATTTTTGCTATTCAAAATCCCTTACATATTGCTTAGAAAAAAACCCTTATCTTTGAAGTTTTAATTTAAAAAGCATTTTGTTGGAAAAACAGTGAGAAGGCGAGAACACCATTTTTTAAATCATTTTTGTATTTCTCCAACAAAACTAAATGGAATAGTGAGAAGTTACACCAATACTTTGCTCAACTTTATAAAAATCAGAACCAGTAAGTGTGAATTCCAAGTATCCTAGACAGTGGTGACATTAGCAGACACATCCAGAACTGGGAGTGACTGACAACGCAGTTTTAAGACTGTGGTCTTCAGTAATGCTCCAATCCTACCCTGCATAATGGGCACCGCACTCTACGCCTAGCAAAACAATTTCAAGTTCTCTTTATTTCAGTAAAGTTGAAATAATTTTACTTTGAAGATTTTGGCTTAGGGACCTAAAGGCTCAATTCCCCTGGCAGCAAACGAACCAGCATGCACTGTATTACTACACGACTGGCTGAAGAGGATGAACGTGTCCCGTCCCTTCAGCATGTTAGGAATTTGTACCAAAGACAGGCCACAGTCTCAGGGCTGTGTTTTGAAAGCGTTATAATCTTTTACTTTATAGAAAAGTTACATTTCCAGCCAAAAGTCTCTTCCAAGTTAACAGGCATATTTGTGGATGACTTTCAAGATCCAAATAACCTAGAGGATACAACAGGGAAAAACAGTAGATGAGAATCAGGTACAGCTGTGAACGGTCAGACCAATGCCCTTCCAACTCACACCCCCAGCGCACATCTGGCCACTAGTTTTGCTTCCCCATACATCAGACCATATAGCTACGTAAGTGAAAGGAAGGCAGCCTGCTGATCAGAGCTAAAACCTGTTGTTTCCAGAGACTATTCTCAAGGCTGATTCCATTCTATTACTTGGTGGGGGTTTTCCCCTCTAAAATGATAAATATCCTCATAGTTAAACTGAAATTCTGTCCCAAATGATGTTTTATTTAAGCAACCCACAACAAAGAACACTGTATTTAAGGCTAAATGACTCACATGCTGGCAGAGGTTTTCATGCACTACAAGTGCCCACATTAGCAAAAAAACGTGAGGTCAACCAACATCTCTTTGAAGATTGAAATAAACAAATGAAATGAGAATTATGGAACAATACAGCAGGAGAGAAAGAGATACGAAAAGAAATACATGTGCAAGAAAAATCCCAACATATATGGCTTCATATAAACAAATGACAAGATGCTGCACAGTGTTACTTACACAATCATGCAGAACATCATGAAGACATTCCACAAGGCAATGAAGATTCGAAAATATCTGAGACTCAGCAAGAACTCCCTGATATTGTCACCTAAAGATCAGGAGAAGAAGCCCTTGATGTGAAAGGTACCTAATGCCCCGACAAGTCACATTTTCAATGCTGCCTGAAAAACATAAGCAACTCTGACAAAAAAAGAAAACAACAAAAAAAAAAACAACCAAAACAACCCAAAGAGGTCAGACAACAAAAAACAGAAAGTTGAAGTTTTTGGTAAAACAATCCATGCTACATTCAGTGCATCCCTATAAGGGCCCATGGCAAAATAAAAAATAAATGATAAAAAGGGGTCACACTGTTAAACAGGGAAGGACAGCCCTCTGTCTGTTGTAGTTTCCGGGCTTTCTGTGACTTTTATCCGGCAGAGATATCAAGGAACAACGTGCGTGCATACACACCAAAATGGAAATCAGGTTGTAAGCAAAGCGTTACCTCCGTACCACAGGCACCTACATTCAAAAATGCAAAAATAAATGTGCATTTCTGTATTTCCTCTCAAATCACCAACACGATATCAACAGTTAAGTTTGTCATGTAAACATCACGGGGGAAAAATTTTAAGTTACAACTTCGTAAACTAAATTCCAGACAGAGAGTAATTCACATCCGAACGAAACGGGATTACGCTTGTACTCTGGCGCCTTAAAAACGCTTTAACCAAGGATTTCTTTCAGAAAACGCCCGTTCCCGCGGGTATTCGGGCAGCCCGGGGGTGAGGGTGTAGGCTGGCTGTGCCCACACCCCGCTCCCGCCTCCCCTCCGTTACCGGTCGTGGGTTCCCTCGACTCCTCGCCGAAGCCCTCCGTCTCTCTCTTCCTCCTGTGGGACAGGGAGGGTGTCCCCGTATCAACCGGGGTGAACCCCCCCCCCCCAAAACCGCCACCTCCCTCCCTCCCTCCGTCCCCCCCTCCCCGCCCGCTCACAGCCTGAAGTTGAGCACGGCCCCGGCGTTCATCAGCAGCGTCCTAAGGGAGAGACACAGAGAGCGCGTCAGGCACGGCCGGGCCGAACCGAATCGAACCGCCGCCGCCCCCCCGGGCCCCGTCCCCGGTACCCGCAGAGCAGCAGGTCCCCGATCATGGCGGCGGCGGAAGCGGAAAGGGCGGGAGCTGCTGGTCCCGCCGCGGCGCCTGCGCTCCCCGGGGGTGGTGGCACCGGCACCGGGGCCGGGACGGGAGCGGGCTCGGCCCCGTCCCACGGGCCTGCGCTGCGCCGGTCCCGCCTCCCGCTGCCGCAGCCCCGTTAGAGGCGAGGCCGCGCCCCGGGACGTCCCTCTGGAGGCGGGCCCGGGGGCGGGCCGGGGCCGGGGCCGGGGCCGGGGCGAGCGGCGGGCGGGTGGTGCTGCCCCGCGGCCGCGGCGCCATGGAGCTGGCCGGGACCCTGCAGCTCGGGGAGCTGGCGGCCGCCTTTGCCGCCCTGCCCGTTTTCCCGCTTTTCGACACGGCCTACTTCATCGTCTCCGTCCTCTACCTCAAGTACGAGCCGGGTGAGTGCGGCCGCCCGGGTGAGGCGGGGGGGAACCGGCGGCTGCCTCGGAAATCACCCAGTCAGTCAGGGCCGGAGCGTAAACCCCCTTCTGAGGGCGGTGGGTGACAGGGCCGCGCCTCTCGAGTTTTCTGATGCATAAACCTGACATTTTTGTACATAACCAGGCTAATCCTGCCTGCCTTTTTTGGACTTCGCAGTTTTTGGTGTAAGCTGCCACACGTCTGTAGGATTCAGGGCTCAGAGCCTTGCTGCATTGCTTTTTCAGAGGTCTGACACGTGCCTAAATATAAAGCAGAAAAAACCCAAGAACTAGTCACTTTGATTTTGAAAATTAATCTTGTATTTTATTTACGATTGGATTCCAATCACATTGAAGTAGATAAGTTCAGTCACTTCTTTGCTGCTATCCCAGGACTTAGTGTTACGTTTCTGTCCAGTTGCTTGGCTTTTCTATTTTTGTGGCAATACTCTCCTCCTATTTATATACAAAAAGGCTGTAAGTAAAACCTTGGGTTTTTCCCACCTTCCAGACTATGCTGCAATCTGTTCTCAGGCACCCGAACTGACCTTGCTTTGTTTGTTCTCTTGGGTTTATCAATAGATCTGCGTCTTAGCTTCTACTTTCTGCACTCTTGCCATCTTCGCTATGTACTTTTGATAGTGTGTGCACTTTTCATGCTCTGCTTTGAATGATTTCAGTGTAACTGATGACTGAGGAGAAAAAAAAAAACTTACACTTTGATATGATTTTTAAATCCCCCAGTTGTGAGATCTCAGTATCTCCATACTGTTCTATTTAAACTCCATGTAGAGAAGCGCTGGGTTTTCAAGGTCTGCTCACTTACAGCTGTCTTCCAGCATTAAATCCTGAACATAACAGTTAAGAGGCAACCCTTGTGAAAATATTTTAAAAATATGTAAGCCCAGTAATCCACTTGGACTGGATAAGGCCGGGGTGTACTTGTCACTAGATTCCTACACAGCTTCATCCCACAGCTCCTGTGCTGAAGACCTGTGTCAGGACAGTAATGTCCTGTTTCCTCCTTGTAGACAGCATGGCTTCATGGTCCCAAAGAAAAACAAGTGTTACTAAATTTAAGGCTCAAGCTAAACTTCAGGTTCTATAGAACCAGCTTCATATCATGGCTGTTGCAGCTGTCTCACTTCCACTGTGTTTCCAGCTGGTTCAAATGTTTTTGAGGGCGGGAGAGTCTGAGCAGTCATAGTTTTAGCATACGCTGAATCGCTTACTGCTATTTAAGGTAGGCCACTGTTAGTGACGTTCACATAACATTTGGGCATTCTCTCTTTTGACTGCCTGTTACTGGCTTACTGAACAGAGTTAGGCATCTGAAACGCTGTACAAAGGAATCTGCAGCAGTTTAATCATAGAATCACAGCATGGTTTGGGTTGGAAGGGACCTTAAAGATCATCTAGTTCAACCCCCCTGCCCCGGGCAGGGCCCCCTTTCCCCAGCCCAGGGTGCTCCCAGCCCCGTCCAACCTGGCCTTGAACCCTTCCAGGGAGGGGGCAGCCACAGCTGCTCTGGGCACCCTGGGCCAGCGCCTCACCGCACTCACAGGGAAGAATTTCTGCCCTAGATCTAATCTAAATCTCCCCTCTTTCAGTTTAAAACCGTCACCCCTCGTCCTACCCCCACCCCCTGATCCAGAGTCCCTCCCCACCTTTCCTGCCCCCCCTCTAAGCCCTGGGAGGCCGCTCGAAGGTCTCCCCAGAGCCTTCTCTTCTCCAGGCTGAACCCCCCCAACTCTCTCAGCCCGGCCTCCCAGGGGAGCTGCTCCAGCCCCCCGAGCATCTTCGTGGCCTCCTCTGGCCCCGATCGAGCAGCTCCGTGTCCTTTTGCTGTTGGGGGCCCCCGAGCTGGCCCCAGCACTGCAGGGGGGCCTCCCCAGAGCGGAGCAGAGGGAGAGAATCCCCTCCCTGGCCCTGCTGCCCCCCCTGCTCTGGCTGCAGCCCAGGGCACAGGTGGCTTTCTGGGCTGCGAGCGCACGTTGATGGCTCATGTTGAGCTTCTTGTCAACCAGCACCCCCAAATCCTTCCCTGCAGGGCAGCTCTCAGTAAGCGTCAGTAAAGTGATGAAGCAATCCTAGAGAATTTATGTTCTTGAGAGACTTTCTTGAAGAAGTACAGATACAGATGAAAATGGCTAGAGGAATAAAAAAAAGGCAATAGAAGATTCTGGGATGAGACCATAATGTATTACCAAATAGTAACACTGTTTTAATACCTGGTTGTGTTTTCAAAGGGCATTTCTACATGAGTACAGGAGCAGAGAAGAATCCTCAAATCCTCTTCTTTCAAATAAAGATTAAGAATTACTGTTCTATTTTTACATGTCATCTTATGAATGAAAGAGCTGAACAGATTGTTCATGAATTCTAGAGGGCACCTAGGTTGAAGCAATAGAATGGGGAGAATGGTACTAGTATGGATTTTATTTTTAGACTGTAAAAAGACTGATTTCAAGAGAAAAATTGTTCTTTGTGATTGCAATAAGTAACAGCAAATACAGGAGATAAACTCTTAGCCAATTCATAATCTTCTAAAGATTCAGTTGGTTTGAAACCTTACGGAGGGCCTGCGAGCTATGATTACACATATAATTTCTTGACAATATCTGGTACTTGTTCAGGTTTCACAGAATACGCATTTTTGTATTTTGTTTTACAAGCACTTTTGACTTATTTTGTTGGAGAACATGCACCACAAGCCTCCTTAGAGGGTCTTGAGAAGTTTCTGCTTATTTGCTGAATCCATCTTCTCATTTAGAATTTGCTTCACAGGAGCTGTGGAGATGTCTCGTAAGAGCCCCTTTGCCTCCTGGCTTTGTGCTATGCTCCACTGCTTTGGAAGTTACATACTTGCTGATCTGTTACTTGGAGAAGCACCTATTGATTACTTCAGTAATAACTCCAGTGTCATCCTGGCCACAGCAGTCTGGTGAGTCTTTTGTACTTCACCTAATTTCTTAAGCATGAGATGCTGCTGGCTGTGTACAAAACCACTCGGTGTGAAGGGAGGTATTCTGTTTGTGCAACACACATGTATTATCTTGCTTGGACTAACTGGGGAAAGGAGAAGTGGGGTGAGGTAGTCTTTGAGTCTTTTGTATTCCTAGATCTAGTTTCCAGTTTCTCTGACCAGTTGTCTAATGCTTTGATTCGAAGGGTTGGGTCCAATCGCCAGGCATTCATAGCTGCCACAGCTGAACTGTGGCCAAACGGCAAAAGCAGCGTGCACTGCACTGATACCACATCTAGTAGAGGAGTGGCACACACTGAAGATTTGGGAGCATTTTATTCATCATGTTAGTGAAATGTGCACAAATTAACCACAGTTACTCCAAGTTCCATTTCCTCGCTGTGTATGGGTTGTATGTGCTTTTGCATGACAGAACCAGCATTTCCTTCTCTCTAACATAATTCAGGCTAACACCACAGTACTCTTGATCCTCTCTAGACATCCCAGATCAGGACAAAGAAATGGGTCCTTAAACTCTTTGTGGTTTTATTCCAGGTATTTGATATTCTTCTGTCCCATGAACCTCTTCTACAAGTGTGTTAGCTTTCTGCCTATGAAGGTCATCTTTGTGGCAATGAAGGAGGTGGTCAGAGTTCGCAAAATTGCAGCTGGGGTCCACCATGCTCATCACCGTTACCACCACGGGTGGTTCATTATGATGGCTACTGGATGGGTCAAAGGTGAAACATGAGATACTCTTCCCGCAGTGGGGAGGCACCCAGCCCCGTGGGGAGGGACGGGAGAATCTGTGGGTGAAGCTTAAGGTGACCACATCACTGGGTGCTGACCAGCAGGCTGGTTAGTGGATGTGGTCAGCTGGCTTCAATCGAGTTCCCTAGAACACAGGTATTTATTCATACCTGCACAGTGGTTGTCAGTTGAATCATCATCTGACTTTAATGGAGGCATGAAGAACTGCAGTCGCTATGAAATATGGGCCTAGAATTCAGGAATTCTTTATTCTTTCTCTGGTGTTTTACTGTCTCTGGCCTCACCTGTATCTTCTCAGGGAGGTTCTATCAGTGTTGAAACAGCCCAGTTGGTTTTCCTTTAGCTTTTGTTTGGAGCAAGCATTTGAGCATCAGTAAATGGAACAGAGACAAATGCCTTTTCCCTGCATCAGGAAACACTTTATAGAAAAGTCTAGAAACTCTAATCTGTTGTTTTAGGCTATTTTTTTTTTTTTTTTTTACATTTGGGAAGAATGTCCTGAACCTTTTGTTCCCTGTAGGTTATCCTTATCCTAATCCTTACATATTGGGGATCTAGAAAAGACAGCAGAGATCTCTTCTGGTTTGGCAGTTCTAGCTGTTCACTTGTACTGTTTCGCAGGTTCTGGTGTTGCCTTGATATCTAACTTGGAGCAACTGCTGCGTGGGGTCTGGAAGCCAGAAACAAATGAAATTCTTCATATGTCCTTGTAAGTAGGTAGCCTGTAAATTCTGTCAGACCAAAAATGGAATCTATACAACCATTTGGGACTGGATGCAAATGATGCAAACCTCCTAGAAAACATCTTTATTTCTCTTCTAGCCCTACAAAGGCTAGTCTGTATGGCACAGTCCTCTTCACTCTGCAACAAACTCGCTGGCTCCCTATCTCTGAAGCCAACCTCATCTTCTTTTTCACCATGTTCATGATAGTTTGCAAGGTAAGTTTACAGCAAGTTTGCTGCTAACAAATCTACAGAACCAGAGGAAGGGTACAGACTTAAATTTGGGGGTGTTCGCCTTCCTAAGCCACTGCTGAAGGCATTTGATGTACATACCAGGATAGTTCTGCTCAGGAAATTATAGGCTAAATTCTCTATCATATAGGCAGCATGGTAGAAGATCCTTGTGATCTAGCCTTGAGTCATGTAGCAATAGGGACTTTTATCTGGGTAAGTGGAATGCTCTGTGCTAGTTAGTATTTCACAGCTGGTGTATGTGGTCTTTAACTTTAAGTATTCACTGTTGCACGGCAGGTTTTCATGACGGCAACTCACTCTCACGCCTCACCTTTTGCTCCAGTGGAAGACTTCATCTGCCCAGTTTTCTTTGGCTCTGTTTCCAGTGGACACAGTAGTCATCATCATGATCAGCATGGGGCCTCCCATGAGGTTTCCCATCCTCCGCCTCCTGCAAAGTCAAAAGAGGAGCTAAATGAAGGCACAAGGAAACGGAAAGCAAAAAAGGCTGAATAAAAAAGCAATCACACAGTAAATAGGCCAAGAAAATTCTTCCAGAGCTGAGTCTCAGAGCCACCTGTGACCTCCTTTATCCTCCAGTCTTTCTCTCAGACTCCCGAGGAGAGGTGGAAGCCAGGACACTGCCAGGCGGGTCCCTGAATTTCATTTGTGCTCTCTGTGCTGCCGCTTTGCTTCTTGGTCTCTGTCTCTCTATTCTGATCATATTTTCAGGGATTTGTAGATTTGTGCCAGGATGATAAGTGGGTGCCAGCTCATAAGCTGTCAGCAATTATGATGCAGCATTTTCAATTGATATAAAATCTTTCACCATTTATTTATGAATGGAGGTAATCATTTGTGCTCCTGCAACCCATAAGTTCCTTTGAGTTTTTGTTGACCTTTCTGATGTCTACCAAAACAACAAACTGTCAAGACATAATCAGTGTGGAAGTTGGATTTCATACTCAAGGAAATTAAAAGGTCTCATACGAGCCTGATCTAATTTTTCCTAGCTCCCACATCTGCCATATCTCCAATTAATGTGACATTTTATATGCAATAAGGACATGGATTCTTGTGTCCTAGCCAAACTCTGTTTCTGTCACTTAGGTTCCCTCTGATTCTCCATGGATAGAACGCTGTCACTTGCTTAACTAAGTCTGTGTTTGCAAGAGCTTTAAGGCTGTGAAATGCTCAGAGTGCTACGTATTGGTATTGTTATTATGCTAAACTGTTGTGTAGCGTTGCTGCACATTGTCAGTAAGTGTGTCCCACCTCAAACCTGATCATATTTAACTAGGGAAGAAGCATGGTTCTGGTTTGTTTGTAATCCTGTGGGATATAAGAAGGGTGTGTGAGTGTAAATAAGTATTTATTACTATTTATTTATAATTTCCAGGGTACCTAATTCATGGACCTGAAACTGGCTTTTTTAAAATGTTGCATCTTTATATATGGAATTGGATACTTCTAAATATGGTCCTAAGCCCACAGCTACATGCTGGTTTGTGCCTGAAGCAGTGATTTTGGGTGTGCTAAAGGACAGCCTGAACACTCTCAGTTGGGTGCAGGAAGGAACATGTCCTATATTTTTAAGTTAAGATACAGAGGCTGAAAAAGTAGATTTCACACCAGCTGATTAAAACTACTTTAAAGGGCTGATAAAAGCACACCACCTGAAGATACTGATTGTCCTTCATAGGTCCCTTTCAGCCAAACTCCTGCTCTATGAAAGGAGCTTGTGCCCAATGAGTGAAGAAGAATATGAAATGCCTCACATGGCTCAGGGAGGAGTCTGTCAGTTCGCTCATGTTCTGCTTAGTGAATACTGGCTTTTAGACTAGTTTTAAGCTCTTCTTATAACTGATTTTGTTCTTAAAAGTGTCACCATCCAAGGGCTGGGATCACTGCAGTGAAAATGGCACGCGTGAGGATGTAGCACTGGCCTTTCAGTTAAGCAGCATATTGCCACCCCTAGCAATAAGGTTTACTGCTGTCATCTTGCAACTGGGAATATAAATAGAAGGATTTAAGAAAACAGGGGGTGGTGGTGTTGGTGTTGTTTGTGTCCTTGTTCAAAACTGAAATGGACAGTTCATTAAAAATTAAAAAAAATAAATTTGTTGTGTACAACCAGATGAAAGCCAGTACAAAAGGTCAAATGATTTGTGGGCTTGGGTTTTGACAGTGCCTTAATTTTGTGAGTTTCTCTGCCCTTCAGTAGAAAACAGGAATTCTACCTGACAGCTCAACTGTCTGGTTTTGCAGATACTGGTCTACTAAAACCTGATGTATCCTCAGCATGCACAGGACTATAAATGTTTTATGAGATGTAAGATTCAAGGGGAATTTTGTTTTATAAAGCTGCCAACAAATAAAAATTGTGAAGTGACTCTGTCCACTGGCACTCGAGGAAATACGTGTTTCTTTTACTCTCACCAGTCTCAGAAGCCACACGCTCCTTGATCTACTTAAAGTCTCCTTGACCCGATGACAAAATGATTCTAACTGAAGATCAAACTTTGATATGTCCTACAAGTATGCCTGAGCATGTTATAAATGGAAATAATATGGTAAAGGGCCCATTGGTTTTCCTGTAGCACTGTTGTCCAAGCAGACTTTTTGAGATTTTGGGGAAGTAAATAAGGAAACTAACATACTTTGGTGTTTATATCAGCTGCCCCTGTCTCTCCTTTTGTCACTATAAGAGGAAAGAGGGCATTCACCTGGGACAGGTAAATATACACACACATATACAACCACACGCACACAAATCTAGCATATTTGTATAGAGTTTCAGTATTTCTATTTAAAACTGAAAAAAATCAAAATGCTTTAAGTGAGTGTGAATATTTAGCATGGTTCTCTTAGCTGCTGCTTTTGAAGTGTCAGAGCCCTTAATCTTCGCTAACCAAGAACAGAGAGGAGAAATATTCCAAGACATGTTAAAATTAAAGCTCTGCATGCTTTGAAAGTACCTTATCTGGAATGGGATTAGTATCGAGAAGACAACTGCCATGAAGAGTCACAAATTTCATTTAGTGAAGCCTTTCATAGTGAGAGATGGAACCTTTCTTGAATGTCCGTGGCTCAGTGCTGGTCACCTCTGGTACCATTGCAGACAGGCGTCCTTCATCCCAAGAAGAAAAGCTGGATCTTTCAAAAAGCAGCAGGGACACAGGCTTCTGCAGGGCTGCTTCTACACTTCTGGGAAGCCCTACTTTACTTGTACGTGTGCTTCTTCCTTAAGAATCTGCTCCAACCAGAATGAAAATGGTAGCTGGGCATTTCCTAGAGGGAGGTGGGAGTAACTTGCTTCCATGGCACAGAGATGGGTGTGATGAGGAAACCGTGACACAGACAACCTACCTGGCTCACTAAATGAGGACCTGCAAAGGGCTATTTATTTTCTGAAGGGTTTCATTTGTCTCCCCTTAGACCTAACTCTTTTAAAATGTTGATTAATCAGAGCAGTTGAGAATTTCAGTGTGCGATTTAAAGTCTCTGTATGACCCATCCAATGGAAAAGAAAGTTAGTGCAAGCCTTATGCATATTTTAAAAAACTCCAGAAAAAAAGCATTAGAACGTTTCACATGGTTTAACCATGCTCCTCTCTGTGACATCCATTTCAGTGTTACCAACAAATTTTGCTTAGCACCTGGACACAGCAATAAATGAGCAGGCTGATGAGAGCAGGCATTTCAAGTGCTTTGAAAAATCCTACCACGTCTCAAGAGTTCCATGCTGTGTTGGCTGTGCAGAATGTTCCCAGCTCCAAACTCCGCTGCAGCACGGGGTAGGAGAGAAGCATGCCAGGGCTTAGACTTCCATGGGACAGACGTCATTCCCTCCAAAGATGTTCTGATCTGATAACTCCTGATACTAACTCCACTGAGATGTAGCTAAATTTAGCAATAGGTTTAATCCTCAAAGAGGCCCTGGTTGCCTGATGGAAAAAGCAAAGAGTTTCAGTTGCTGCTCTCAGCATTTTTTGTTGATTGACAGGTTTCCCTTTTCTGTTACACAGAGCAAGCCAAACCCAGCTTTTTAATCGTTGCAGATCAGCTTCACAGATAGGGAAAGCTCTACAGCCTTTACTGTGTTTGTAGAAAAAACCCACACCCATAGGATAATTTTACAGAAAACATTAATAATTATTCACAGTAAATGAACTGAAGTAAAAAGAATGGGAGGCCAACGGAAAGAATTTCCACACTGAAGAGTTTATGTGAGGAAGGGCAAAGCCAATACAATGGAGCGCCAAACTAGAGCAACCAGTGTTCTTGTTTCCCCTTTTTCATTTAATTATTAATGACAGCATGTACATTCTTTGTCCAAAGAGTCACCAGATTATATCATCCAGCTAAGTGGAAAGACTCGGAAGATACAGATGGATGTGACCTTGGCCATCTCCTGAGCAAGAGAGTTGTTCCTTTTCACACTTGCCAGGTGATGAGCTACCAAATGCCCGCTGCTTCTTTCTGCCACCTATTTCATGGCTGTATGGTGCTTTAAAGGTGTAAAACACTTGATCAGCACTGAGAGCATCAGTCCAAATAGCACACAGGACACATAGAAACATTAAAAATGACATCTTTATCTGGGCCCTTAGCTATCCTTGTCTGCCTTACAGTTCTTGTACTATCCTTTAAAGGACCTAACTGGCTACTATAAGACACAAGACCGAGGATTATATGGAAGGTAGGGCTGGTATAGCATGGCATTTCCTACAACCTTAGATACCCAGCTTTTTGCTGCAGCAAAGATTTTTCTCTCAAGATATTTTAGTTCTTTGCCAAAATAATGAGAAATCAGAATATACATCTATAAAAGATTTTCTACAAAGCTCACAAAGATAGTTTGGATTTAGTATGAGCTTCTTCCATCTCTACTAGGACAGGGCACTGACAAAGCAAACTGCTAGCAGTGGAGAAAATATGCTGTTGATACCAAAGCTGAGACAGTCACTCTGCACACAGAGGGTTGATATTTGCCTCTTTAGGATGCTCTTACTATTGGCCCTAAGGCGATCTGGTTTGTCCTGTGTGCCCATCCACTGTAAGGAAAGGCCAATTAAAGGGGTTTGGATTTCATCTGACACCAAGAGTGTTCTTGCTTGGTAAACACCCACAAAATTACCTCCCAGCTAAGAATTTAATCCTGCTCTCATGTGGTCTGCAAGCAAGCTGTTGGGAGATGATGGCTCATGGAACAGACAGACGGTGAGAAAACAAGTTCCCTATCATGCCAGAGCCCACGCTGCTGCTGCTGTCGTGACTCACTGTTGCTACTCACTTCACCTTTGTGATGACATTTCTGACAAAAAGGAGATGTTAATAGTGTGAAGATCAACAATCATGAATATCTTTGAGTCTGGCTTCTCTTTTACACTTGTGCATTTGCATCTTTCACACATTATCCTGAGAAAAAGTACCATTTATAATATTTTCTATCATGACCCTTATCTGTTTCCTTTATGTTCCAAAAGAGAATTTGGGGAGGGAATTTTTTAGAGCTTGCAAATCTAACTTTTTAGGAAGAATCAGTGTGAAAGAGTTCATCTTAGCTTTAGGGTACAGGTAGGCTATAGGCATGGAATGCAGGAAAACAGGTCTGATATGTTTAGAGGCTTGAACATTTTTATAGCCTGAGGAAATACAAAATGTCCCCGGAAAAGATTTGGTTGGTCGATTCTGTTTCGTTTTGTTTTGCAAATTACAGAATGCTCACCAGAAACTGTAACACAAATGCTGCATTCCTGTAGAAAGCAAGCTGCTGCTTTTCCAATTATCCCAGCCCCTGATGCTTCTCCATCGAGCTGGCAGATCTTGACTTTCCAAAAAAAGATCTGCTAGTTGGCGACTTCTGGTCCCACTGAAACCAACTGCTTGAATCAGTGAGTGAGCTAATTTTCTTTGATTTGTTAGTGACAAGAATTGGTGTAATCAGTAATAATGACAGGTACATGCAGTGTAAAATGCATGTAGCACATCAGATTGCAGTGCCTTGAAGAACAGTCTAAAAATGCATGACTTTAGAGCCCTAATGTTGGCTTAAATTAGATTTAGAATAATGTAGGCTAAACCCTAATGTAGGCTGTAATGTTTGTCTCAAGGTAAGACGCTTTATCTCCCTGCCTGCTTGATTTATGATAGATTAGGATGTTGGTTAATCTCTCCTTATTTGGCTAGATGACTGTGAAGATTAATCAAGTATTGTCTGCAAAAGGAGCCCATAAATACAGATTACTAATTTTTCTTTAATTATACCTCTGTATGCCAGAGGGATACAAAGGGGGTACAGATGAGGATAGACACCAGCCTCTTAAATCTCATTTCATGAGAGAAACAGAAAAAACACAGCAGCTGCTCTGTCTGATACTGGTTTTCTCTGACATGCTCAGTTCAGTTTCCTGGAAAAGGCAAAAAGCCACAAAAATAATAGCTTATGGTCTCATGTGAGAAAATGGGAAAGCAGAAAGTGGTTCCCAGTGAGTGAATCTGCTTGGCTGGTATAGCAAAATCTCTGTTTCCACAGGACACAGAGAAAGCAGCATTTCTTATGGGAAAAGCTATACTGAACAAATACTGAAACACATGGAAACAAACTGAAATAGCAACGTGCTGTGAATACTGGCAAACAGACCAGCATGGAAGAAAGACATTGAAAAGCATGCTCTGTGAACGTGAGGTGGAGGCACCTATTCTGTTATGGCCTCTGTTGAGATATTTGCACCAGTTACCTTCTCTCCCTGCACATTCCAAGGACATTTGGACAAAGATTTTATTTTTTGATTTGTTCCCTGTTGACAGCTGCAGTTTCCTGCCTTGGAGCTCAACAACTGACACTACGGGTTGAACGCTGCAGCAGCACACACTGGTCCCCTCGCAGGGGATTAGCAGGTGGGTCATGGATGTTGCCCTGCACGATAGAATTCAAAATTAGGAGCAACAGCCAAACAGCTTCTGTCACTGGAGTTTTACTGTTAGCTGTAACATCCCTCAGGAAGTCTTTTTTTCTTCTCTCTTTCTTATTTCTACCTACTCGCTGTTTTTTTTTTTTTTTTGTAAATTATTACATTTTTCTTTCTGTCTTTTCCCATGTGCTGCTCTTTTGAGGATGGTACCTCAGTCCAAACATAGCCATAAAGTAGTAAGTATTTACTGTGCACAGTTTAAACGCCTTTTAGTAAATTCACTCTTGCACAGCTTGACAGAAGGCAAATAGTGACAGGGCGTAGGCATACTCCCTTGGGCATTAAGAAACCTGCTTTAAATGGCAGAGAGTGCCTGAACCATAAACGATACTAGTACTGGCAGGCTTACGTGATGCTAAAATATAGAGACAATTCTTTCTAAAATAGTCAAGGGTAGTGAACAAAGGGACCTCAGGTGTACAGCACCCAACAGGGAGCACATTTACTGCCTTTTAGAAAAAGACCCCGGGGATTCTGCCCAAGTGACAAACACTGGTTGCTATAGAGATATCTGTCCTCTTCAAATACAGATGGATCGCTCCAGGATGCAGTGAAGTTTCACTGCATCTCAGTGCAGATAGTCAACCATTTTCTACTGTCCCTGTCAAAGTAGTTGAAATTTTCCCAGGCTTTCCTTAAAAAAAGGAGCAAGCCAGCTTTCTGGAGAGAGGCACCACAGACTGGTGGTCACTGCCATTAGGCATCTGCCCTCTGATGAGCAGTCTCTGCTGAGGAGAGCTCAGGGATAGCAGCACGAGTGTCAGTCCTGACACACGCTGGGATCTTCTCTGTGGGAAAATGGTTCCTCTTCCCTTCCAGCCCTCCAGCAGCTTGGTCCAAATCTTCATCAGCTCTGTTTTTTCAGGTAAATAAGCTGAAAAGTCCTGAAGCTGCTGAATGCATCTGGCACTCTCTGCTGGAGTCTGCAAAGTGTTACAATGCGTTTGAGACTACTGTGCTCAGCAAAGAAGCTGTAAGCTCGCAGCTCCATTTGAAAGGGAAGATGCCTACATTTTATCTACAGCTTTATTCTGTCACACCCAGTTTGCACTTCGAACATGGCAGAGATGGCAGAATTCTGCATTAGTTCAGGAACTAACAGCATTTGGGTGAAGTCAAATTCAGCCTAGGCACTGCTGTGCAATAGCTGAGGGCAGCACAATGCCTGTCTGCACACAAGACAGCAAAGTTTGCCAGCTTTCTTGAAACCCCGGGCAACACATGTTTGATTCCCATCCACCACTGTAACAGAAAGAAATATTTGTGAAGAACTTCTCTTATTGGACAATATCCAAATATTTCCCACTTCCTCTGCCTACTGGGACACAGTTGCCAGACTGAGCTCCTGAAGTGGTAACTGGCAGTGGGTAGCAATGACTCAGATTTTCAGGAATGACAAAACTCAGTTTCCCCTTCTGAAAGTCATTCACTCTGTCTCCATTTTTAAAGAAGAAAACACAGGCTTAGATAGGCTCTCAAGTCCACAAAAAGTGCCTTCCAAAGAAAAAAAATACTGCAGCATCTCGTCTGGTAGGACGTAACACAATGAATACGCAGTTTGGACAGTGAGGTGTTTCCAGCCTAAGCAGATAGGTCAGCATTTACAGAAACAGAGCTGCAGTTTCTGGAAGGAATGTATGAGCACTTCCGACAATCTGAAATTAGTGGGTGTATAAGGACACAGCTAGTGTTAAGATTTTACCTTCACCACCTATCCAAGTTGTGGTAGACCTCAAGTATTTTCAGGAACAGTTTTGGGATGAAGGATGTGACGTGATTGGATTTTCATCAAAAGACAGGGTTATAAGTTAAACCCACTCTCTCACTGGAAGGTTTGGAATTCATGTGGGCTGAAGTGTAAAGCGATACAAGGATTTCTCGTAACTACTGTTTGGTGAGAGCTAATGAATTATTCCAAGGGTATTACGCTGAGTACTTGCTGCCTGTTGGACAGCAGTGCAGACATGATAATTCCTAACCCAGGGGAGTGCTCTCCTCATCTGACACTGGCACAGACTTCATTAAGTGATCACTTTTCACTTAGAACAGTTCCAAGGAAAGCTGCAGATGCAGCCATTCCCCATCCTAATTTTAGTATTCTCTCTTGTACTACTTTATCACATGATTACGTAGTGCCACAAATGTTTACATAATTTGGGGGAGAGAATATTCCAGTTCTGAAAAAATTATAATCTCATATGATAAAACATATCTAGAGAGAAAAATGTCCTTTTTATTTCCCATGCCTTTTAATTTTGCAGGTGTCAAAAGTATCCATGAATATAAGACCTGTGTATCAGTGAACAGGAGATGGTACATGCACGTGGGTGCTGGGAGCGAGAACTCATCCTTGCGTTTGTGTGCATATATGCACTTACTTTTCTTCCTATTTGCTTTGTCTTAATTTAGTTTGATTTTACCTAGTTTGTTGTTTGATTTAATTCAGTGAATATGTCACTTAAAAGGTGTCATAAAGATTTTTCTAGAAAGCGGTAATCTCTCTTGTAAAAAGCACAGCAGGAAAAGTGGCCATAAAAATTTCACAGACTTGACTCTATGAAAAGATTCCCTGTAGGTAGAATTGCCTTTTATTATGGCTATTTATCACATCTGAGATGGCCAACAGTGTGGCTGAGAGGTCTTAAAATAGGATGGAGAATTTGCCACAGAAAAGGCATTTTTCTGGATCAATGCTGCTGCATTGTATTCTATAACTATGCAATCCAAAATTGCCAGATTGAGTTTTCACATTAGCAAATAAAAACACAGTGTGACAAGCCCATATAGAACCTTGAAAATGCACTCGCATTGGTAATGTAGTAACGTGAGCACAAGCCTGCAGACACCTGGAAACCACAGTTTTACAGGACATAACCACAATGTCTTCTATATGAAACTCAACACAGGTTTTAGATGACAGCATCACAAACTGTGTTTTCAGTGCAAGGTCTAAAATGACAAGTAGACAACCTGTTTCGATATTCCTAACTTCTGTTGTGCTGCTTAAATCCTTCCATGCAGACATGGCTACAGAAAGAGAGACCGTCCCGGAGAAAGCATACCCAGAAGCGCAGGCCTTCTGTCAGAAACACAGCCTAATTTTTGAGGTAAATCACTTCTTTCCCGTCTGTCCTGTCCAAAGGCCATCAAAATATGTGGGATGGAGAAAAAAACACCCCAAATGCTCATAGATTTTCCATTCCTTAGATGCCTCCCAGGAGTCAAATACCGCTGTACCAATTTCCTAGAACTTTTGTATCGAGTATGCTTGAGTTGTATGGATTTCAATGCAGAATTAGCTAACCATCTTCAAGCACCCAAACGAGGGTTTACAGCATGCTTTTGTTTCTATATTCAATTGGAAAAAAAGTTCCCTGTATAAATTCTACTGGATGTACTTCTGGGGTAGTTGAACTGGTCCTAATTACACTAATTTGCACAGAACTTCTAGGATAAAAGAGGCTACTGAAATGTCTGGGATCCTTTCTTCTGTGATAGAATATAGGCTTGAAATGTTGCAGCAAATAACCTACAGTCTTGAGGTTCCTTGTCCTGAAAAACCAAGTTGCTCACTTGGTCACCCACGGTCCAAATCCCTAAGTCTTTCACAGGATAAATCCCTACTGAGAGATTTTGAATAGCTCAGCATGTTTTGTAAAGTTCCAGTAATTAAAGTTGCATACCACTAGTCCTCAGACTGATCTTAAAATTAAACGTGATAGAATGACTTCATTTTCCCATGTCGCTGTTTTTATGGTAGTATTGACTAGTCTAAGAATCTTAAAAAAATATTTTTGTGCAGGTAATTGCCTTGAGATGGGGTATATCTGAGCTTGTAGACCCTGATCACAGAAACACACAACTCTCTCTGTAGGCAGCTGAAGCCTGTCAGAAACCATCAGCTGGTCCCACCTTCATGGTACGTGCTAGCACTGCGGTGCACGCTCGCTCCCTAGGGCTGAAGTGAGATGTACAGAGCAGGCCACCCACACTCAGAATGTCTACTGGACAAGTAAGGTGGTTTTCACAAGCAATTAGCCTGCCCATGCAGCTTCACAAATCAGCTAGCTGATGGGGCTGAGATGTCAGTAACTGCCAGTAGTCCCTAAAAGACAAAAGGAGGCCTAACAGGCACACACATATGGTCCAGCCCTACATACAAGAGTCTCTTCAGAGCAGAAGATAACAGGGGTTGTGTGTATTAACTAGCAGATAGGAGGCAGATGGAGATACACATAAGGCAAGAAGCTCTTCCTCCAAGCTTGCTTCCTGCCCAATACCTCAATATTGAGGAGGTTTTCTCAGTAACTAAGGACTAAATACAAATTCCCCATGCAAAGAACCAGAAATGAAAATGCCATAGCAACCACCAGGGACAGAGCAGGGTGTCACACTGCAAACTGATACCTGTTCCATGCTTCTGCCTTATTCAAATCCCTGTGATCGTTCCTTCTAACCACTGAAAGCTCCCCACAGCAGCAGCCCACCTCAGCTTCCTTGAAGCACTTTGGTGACAGCCCTAAACAGAAATGCACACCCAGAACTTCAAGCCTTGCAGAAGGGGAGAGGAGGCTGAGGCACCTGCAGAAGTGCCAGGTTGCTTCCTCAGGTTGTTTCAGTTTTAGAAAAGGAGAAAGTTTTGCTGAACAAGGAGAATAAATACACAGTCCCAGGGGGCATAATTGAAGCCACAAGTAAATAAATAACCAATTAAGTATTTGTGAAAGTTGTGCCTGATTTCCCTCAAGATGCTTCCACCAGACACCAGCAATGGAGGGGCAGAGACCACGAGAGCCTCCCCACAGCATTACTGCGGCCAGGAGCTCACCATCGCCGAGCTCCCTGCAGCTCACACCTCTGTTAGCAGCACCATATCGCATCTGCAGATGGCACTGGGAGGTACTCAGGCAGTGTCCTCCTCAGCCTGGTTCTCAGTGTGTACCTAGAAGTCGCAGTGGAGCCAGCCACAAAGGTTTGACTACTCTCATTCTTTTACACACACCAGAAGGGCACTGCTCAAGGATTACTCTGTGGGTTCGTGCTCTGAGCTCATTCTGGCTGTTTCCAGACTGCACAGATATGGGATGCTGACCCTTCTCTCAGCATCTCACTCTTCCCAGCCCAGCCTTCAGTCCTAATCAAAAGTCCCCAGGTTCAGTCCTGTTTCCTTAGTTCTTCTCCACTGTCCTGGTTTCAGCTAGGATAGAGCCAATTGTTTGGTTTTGTTTTTTGGTTTTTTTTGTTTGTTTGTTTGGTTGGTTGGTTTGGTTTTTTGCTTGTTTGGGTGTTTTTTGTTTGTTTGTTTGTTTTCCCCTTTCCCCCTTCCTTCCTTCTTAGTAGCTAGAATAGTGCCGTGTTTTAGACTCAGTATGGGATTTTATATGAGAAGAATATTGATAATGTACTGATGTTTTTAATTTCAACTTCTCATGACCTGCTAGTGCACAGGTACAGAAGAAGCTGGGGGGGGAGCGTACCCAAAACAACGGACCAAACTGGCCAATGGAATATTCCATATCATCTAATGTCATGCTCATGCTCAGTATATAGATGAAGGTTGATTGGGAAGCTCCACTCAGGTTTTCAGGGTGGTGGTTTCAGGACTGTCTCCTCTCTGGGATCACCAGCTGGGAACGGACTGGGCATTGGTCAGTGGGTGGTGAGCAATCACATTGTGCATTACCTCTTTGTATTTTCTACTATTATTATTATCATTATCATTTTAATTTTATTTTAATTATTAAATTGTTTTTATCTCGACCTATGAGTCTCCTTACCCTTACCCCTCTGACTCTCTCCCCCATTCTCTGGGGGTAGGGGAGGGTGAACGAGCAGCTCTGTGGTGTTTGCCTGCCGGCTGGGTTTAAACCACAACATCCACCCCTCCAAAGCCAATCTTACAGCACAGCACCACTGGCCAAAGTCTCTAAACCAATTCTGCTCTGTGCTTCCACTGCCTCACCTCCCTCACTGTCCACATACCCTCAGGCACACTGTAAAAGCCTGAGGAGAAGCTGCTGTAAAGCCACTTCTCCCCAACCATCAGGCAGGCTGGGGCCCTGACGTTTGTTTCAGGGGAACAGGGAGGACAGCTGTTTGTTTCAGGGCAACATTCAATTGCATACAACAGGAAAGATGCAGGAAAGGAAGAGATTTATCCCAAATCCTGAGGAGAGAGGTTGGTGCTGACGAGCAAACAGCAATACACCAGATAGAAATGCTTCTCCTTTTTTCCCCACAATCTCCCTGGCCACATCCAGGAGTAGCTCAGAGGACGTGAGGAATGCTGATCTGCTAGCATCATGTGAAATACAGAAGGAACAAAGGATGTCACATTCATGTTGATGGATAGCTTTTCCTATGTTCTGTTCCGAAACTGTATGCTCACATCTCCCTTTTTTTTTGTGTTGTAGTGATTGAATGGGAGATTGAACAGAGTCTCCTCAATACCCAGAAGAGCAACCTGTGGGCTTTCGTATTCCTCAGAGTGGTTGGGGATTCCAACAGACAAATCAGGCAAGGGACAACCAACAAGCTGTTAGAAAAAGAGGACAATGTGGACAGTGAAACAAAACAGCTGCTCAGCTACCTTAAAGCAAAAATTGCAAGCCATTATCCCAGACACCTCAAAGCACACACAGTAAAGACTCTGGGAACCCTCAGTGCAAAGAAAATAATAAATACCTGAAAGAAATTTGCGAGCTGTTCATTGCTGTCACTAATCACCAGGTTTTAGAGATTCTTCAACACCGAGGACAAATCAATGAGGAGTGGAGGCTACTTCTGCAGGAACTGGGCCACCACACAGCTCTCTGCCTGAAGAACTGCCGATTTTTCTGTGGGAGACAGAATTCATTGGACAATATTTTTCACCGTATGAGGCAGAACAATGATAAAACCCACACAACCCTCATTCTTTATGGGCCACCAGGCTGTGGAAAAACAGCCATGATGTACAAACCATCTGAGCGGGTACACGCTGTTTTAGGGCAAGCCAGTGTAGTTGTGATTCGTTTGCTGGGGACATCCCAGCTCAGTTCTGCCATTCACAGCCTGTTGAGGGACATTTGTCTCCGAGTGCGTTTAGCATTTGATTTGCCACCACCTCCAACCCAGACCAAACAGGCTCACAGTGATTTAGTCCTGTTCCTCAGTAAACTCCTCCTTGCTGTCTCCCATTGTGGCATAGACACGGGTGTTGTTCCTTGACTCTGGAGAGATTACTTCCCAGTGATTGTGCTCACAGATTCCATTGGCTCCCTGTTCACATCATCACTTCCATTTCCACAGCAGAATCTGATACTCTGAAAGCTCTCCAACACACTGTGCCTGAGGCTGAAGCGTAGCTTGAAGTAGGACCTTTATCCTGTGAGGAAGGTGAGGAGATGCTAGAGATGCTCTTAGCATCAGACAGACGATGGCTAAGCCCAGCTAAATGGGCCTATTTCTGTCAGAGCTTCCCTAGTGGTGGGCAAGCCCTGCTCTTCAAGCTGGCCTTTCATAAAGCCAGAAAATGGGCATCTTCAACTTCACCTTCAGAACTAGTGATTGCTAGCACAGCCCAGGACGCCATGCCCCATTATGCAAAAGACTGAAAAAGTCACACAGCACAGTCCTTGTGGCTCATGTGCTTGGCTATATTGCTTCCTTACAGTGAGTACTGCTGTATCTCTTATGGAACAGCCCATAACTCCTGCTGTTCACAGGGAATATGTCTAAATACAGCCAAACCCAGACAAAGCCCTCAGTTCTTAGAGCCTGTGAATGTGTTCATACATATATTTAGCAAGCATAACATTCCTCTCATACCTGGCAGCCTACCTAAAATATTGTCTTGAAGGGACATGTTCTGGGATTACTTGGAAATCAATCTCCATGGCTTATCCTGTGTCTAAGCTCTCAGCTAAGACTGCCATGTGTGCATGTGAGCTAGTGAGATTTTTGGTGACTAGTACTTTCAAACTGCCAGGAAAACCACTCACCCTCCCACTATGAGGAGGATAAATCATTTCCTTTCATATATCACACTTGCAGAAATGGGCTGTCAGACATGGAGCTGAAGGACATTTTATCCCTTGACAATTAAGTTCTCTCAAAGATTCACCACTGCCACCTTCATTCAAGTAAAACTATCCTGCACCTTCTACCTCTCCACTGGGCACAGCCATGCAGTGACATGCGAGAGTGCCTGGCAGAACAGAAGACAGATGGCTTCATCCTTCTTTGCTTTGCACACAGGTACTCTCAGAAGGCAAAGAATGAGAAGTCAAACCTCTGAGTTTGACCCATTCTGGGCTTTCAGGCACCCTGCCCAGACTCCTCTCCATTCTTAAACTCTGTCAGTGTTGAGACTCTAGAAAAAACCCAGCTCTTGCTCCTTGTTCCAGTACATCCATTACTTTTTCCCTTCCCAGGCAATTTGTTGAAATGGTGCAGAATTGTTATCTATCAAAACAAGACCAAATCAAGAGGCAGTATCTCCTGGCAGATTTCTTCAAGGGGATTTGGACCTGGGGAATGAAGAAACTTCTTACATTGCCACACTTTAGTAGAACCTGGAATGCTGACAGGAAGGTGATGAATATTAGCAAGCATTTCCATACCTCTAAGCTGTGGACCAGGGCACTGTGTCTCCAGACAGCTGGACAGGGTCTGAAATCAGAAGACAATGAAAAGAATAGTAAATAACACTATTTATTGCTTTCAACAATGACAAATATTTTTTTTTTTTTAAACAGGTATCTCCAACCAAGGAGATCTAAAGTCATTTTACAAACTTCATCATGCAGTCTTCATATATGTAAAAGACTACTGCGACCAGGAGGTAATTTATTATTCACATCTGCAGAAAGGCAGCCTGCCTTAGATTGTAGCAAGAGAAATTTAGTCATTAAAAACATTTCCTGCTAACAGGAAAACAATGAAAGTCCTGGAAGTGCTGTGTGGCATACCATGAGATAGCATCTACCCTGAAGTTGTGAAAGCAAACAGATTAATCCACAAGCCATGTCTCAAATCCACTCTGCTCATTACTCCTAGGTAGCTCCTCAGCCACTCTGATTCTCTGATACTGCTGTAAATCGGCGGAAGTTGAGTGAATTGCCATTTCATTTACTTAATGCTGGATGAACTGAGGAGCTAAAACAGGATGTGCTAGGTAAGGTCTGGGCAAGAGTGGATACACAGTGCTCTGCAGATGTATGCTTCATGCCTGCAGCCATAGGGAAGAATCACAACCTTTCCACCCAGCATTAGTAACTGCTGTGAGAAGGAAGCTTGAAAAAGAGAAATAAGCTAACTTTTACAAACTGTTATCCTAGCATTATCACCACACTCCTTTAGCAGATGAAATAAATTATCTAGATCCTCCAAATGCTGAGAAGAAAACATATTAGAAAACATAACAAATTAAAAAAAAAAAACAACAACAAAACAACATGAAGAATTTAAGAGGGAACTGTGACAATTGTATATTCTTCCTGAGCAAATGAGTCATAGTTGCACTGCTAGTGGCTGTTAATCCTTCTATTCCTTCCTTTCCCAAAAAAGCATTTTTTTTAACTTGGTCTTTTCAGAATACCTGTGAATTCTCAGGGCTGATGTTCTCTGCTCTAATATTTCTTTCTGCAGGGAATAAGGACTGGATCAGCTGTAAAATATCTGTCTTTGGAACAGAGTGTTGTTGATGACTTTGCCATGGGTACTGAATGCATCAGCTGCCCAGAACTACAACTTGTGCAGGACATACTTCTCCTTCTGAAGCCAGCAGTCAGCAGCAGGCACAGCCGTGACAGAGTGTGATGCAAATGTTTACCAGAGGAAAGAACTAGAATTTTCCTTTCCAAGTAAAAGTACTTTCCTGAGGAATTACAACCGGTGACAAAATTCTCTGTTGTGGGATCCATCAAAAGACTCATAAATGTCTCATTCTGGTAGGGCCTCTGTATGGGAAGCTGAGGTTTCTCCTTTGCCAGCATACATTCTGTGAATTTGATAAGAGCAGTTCACCACAACCAAAGTGCCTGTTGCCCTTTGTCTAGTAGAAGCCCCTGTTCGCTATCTGTATTCCCTTGCAGCTTTAAAGCTAACCAGAGGAGGTGGCACCCACAACTGCTCCTCTGTCTTCTCCACAGAATACTCACTCCTCCCTCAGAGGAAAAATCCTGCCACTCCATTATATTTGCCCTGTTTTACACTGTACTGTAGCCTTCCCTATATTCTTCAAGCTCCTAGCAGGGTAAGGCCAGCTATTTTTACATACTGTACATCACATAAAATACAACTATAGTAGCTCTCACAGGCCCAGAGTCACGTTCCAAAATGCTTTTTTGTCTCTGCCCTCTTAGGAGTAAGTATAATATACACAGAACTGTTGGCCAGGCTTCTTTTTTTCATGCCTTCTTACCCAGCGGTAATGAGGAAGCTGTGCCAGCAGTGCCTAAGCTGATGCAGCGCCTGTCCCTGTCTTGTTCTCATTCCACTGTGCAGATTTCTCCAGCCGCCCGGTGCACCCCTACACACAACGCTCACCAAATTCCTCAAAGGTAGGATTAGTCCTGGGGACAGATACAGCCCAAGAATATACATAATCATCCATCTGTTATGAATGAGACACAAGAAACATAATAAACAAACAGAGCATGAAGGAGAGAACATCTGTTTCTGTAGAAATACAGTTTTGCCTGTGAGCTTACACAAAGGCAGGCTAAAGGTCTATTTGCCTTTGTGCTCAGACATGCACCAGTCCCATTCGCAACTGCTTCAACAAATGAGGATAAAGTGGGTCATTTTGTCATCAGGACAACAAAAGCACACACTGACCTAGATATGTCTGAAGGAACCTAATCTTGCTCTTGGCACAGACTAGGGGGTTCAGGCAGTAGAGGGGGGTTCCAGTTGGGGAAACACAGCTTATTAACCATCTCAAAACGTCTCTGTCTGTGGTATCAAGAGCAGCCTCTCCTCTCTGTGTACTACGGCAGGCATAACAGTGATGGCACTTAGTTCTGGTTACCAGCTGCTGGTGGCAGGTTCCCAGGATGGCTCAATGCTTGTCTGGAATATGGAAGTTTTTGAGATGCTGCACGCCCTTCCTGGACACTCAGGTGAGTCTCCTTCACTTTTTATGGTTGGAAAGCTCTTTTCACATCTGAGAAGACCTCTGACAGCTTGGCCATCCATGAGCTGTAGGCACACAGGCACCTCCCAGCTGCCAGTGTTCTCCCAATTGCTGAAGGCACTGAGAATCCCTCATTTAGTGAATCCTCATTTTATAGCTGAGGTGGAGTGTGTGAAAGTGTTTGGAAAAGGAACCTGTGCTATATCAGCTGCCATAGATCACAATCTGTGCCTCTGGAATTTGATTTCTGGCAGAGCAAGGTTTATTATTCAGGATATGCATATTGAAGAACAGCCTTCACATCACCTTCACGTGGATGAGGGGCACATGATTGTGTATTCTTCCTCAGAGACAAAGGTATGGCCAGTCTTTAACTTCAAGTGTGCTGAAAGAACAAGAACTTTAGAAGTTACAGCCACAATCACAAAGGCTGTAGGCAGAAAAGCTACCTCAGTCCTTGCTACTCCTATCTCTTTTGCCACCTCTTTACTAGGTCAGTGCTTAGCACCTGGAGACAGCAGGACTCCTCTTCCGATTTCTGGAGAGGCGCCAGATGCATGGATGTGTTCTGAAGTATTCAGCCCAAGGATGGTGATTACGACTGTGTCTGAAGGAGGAACACTGGGTCTGTGGAACAGCAACACTGGCGAGCTGAGATCCAAACATCTGCTATCAGGAGTACAGGAAGGAACACCAACATCCAGTGTTCTGATCCAGAAGCAAGGGAAAATGATAGTGGGATTTAGGGGGGTATCTCTATCCATGGTACGCATCTATCTGTTCAACTTTCTTACAATATTTCTTGTATTTTCTTATAATATCCAGAAGTTTACAGAGCCAGACAGCAGACACGGCAACCAGCAGGCCTTCCTTCTCCATTCTGAATAGAGCACCCTCCAAATACTAGTTCCTAAATGAACCATCACAGCACTTTTTATCCTGCTGCACTTTACAGCTCTGCCCAATACCATGCAGCTAAATTAAATTTCAGTGCTAATCTAGCCTCTTTCCTTCATGAGAGGCAGCTCAGTTGTCCTAGCTTCATGTCTTATACTTGCCTTATTTTTGTGCAGATCTCTTCCAATGCAAACAGCCTGACAGAGAAGCTGCCTGGAAGGGTTTGCTTTGTGATGGTGTCAGAAGATGAGTCCATTCTTGCTGCAGGTTCCATAGCACCCATTCCTTAGGAAACTGTTGGTAATAGCTGCTCTCCCACATGCCAAGCATCCTTTTAAAGGGGCCAGCATGTGGAATTTCCCATTAACCTGGCCATATTTAACTATTGTGCTTAAGGGGGTAACAAAGATTGAAGAAATTCTCTTTGTGAAGAGTCAGAACATTGCCTGTGTATCAGGAGCCCTTTTGCAAGGGAATAAGTGAGTTAAGTAGTGAAAAGGACTTAAGTTGGCACAATTATTTTTTAGGGTGTCTAAGCTAGCCCTTGGGCATAACTTTAAATACAGGAGTTAAATCATACACATAAGGACATGGTGTTGAAGGGGATTAGAGAATTCCTCAGCTCAATAAATCAGTAACTAACATTTTATTGTTTTAGGCTTTGAGGAGTGTGCGGGAGTGTGCCTGGCAGACGCAAAGGGATTCCACAGGTTCCTAGCAGACTGGAACGTGAAGGAGTGGTTCACATGGCTGTTATCTCTGCTGGCAACAGCATTATCTTTACGGGCTCTCAAACTGCATCTATCGGGGTAGGGAGAAGGAATGCTTGGCAACTGCCCAATCACAAGCATCTCCTACAAATCCAGCTTACAGAATGCGCCCCTGATCCAGTAAAGGGGTCGTCTTGATCCCCAGCAACCTGTCTGGGGGTTGGATTTGCAGTTCTAAATATGTTTCTAGTAATACCCCACAACAACCACTGACCCTTCTCTTCATTTGTTTCAAGCTACATTGTTTCTATTCTATTTTTGACACTGAATGGAGAACACTTTATCAGTTCAGAGGGCCAGCCTAAAGCTAGTGTACACCTGAGGCCTGAAATAGTATTTCATTTCTGAAATGTTTTAAATTTCAATTCCTAAAAGCTGCCTTGCTGTGTATTCTACCTGGCGCCTGCTCACAAGTGGGTAACATCTGGAAGCACCATCTCTTTGCCAGAGAAAGAGGTAAACAGCGAATCCTGTCCCAAATGTGCAGCACCTTAATTAGATGTCTTTCAGAGCAAAGGAAGCAAGTAGGCTGAATGGCTCCACATGCTTCAAACGTTCATTTTAGAGTAAGAAGGCAAATGTTTTGCTTTCTAGTATTAAGAAGTTATCCTTTGACTTTACTTATGTTTCTGTAAGTTAGTTAAGGTATGTTGGTTTACCTCTTACATAGAACTAAGGAGAAAGTCGCTCAGGCACTGATGACTTCTCACCCCACAACTCTTCCCAGGTGTGGAGTTTATCAGACCAGGGGTTGCTAACTGACACAATGGATGGCATGGGAGCACCAGTAACACTTTTAACCCTGCACAACTACACTTCAGAGTGTGGAACCTCACTAACAATCATCACCAGAAAACCTCGGCACCTGTCCCAAATACAGGCTGCACTGCACTGTCCCATGGGGGGAACTATGTCATTTTACCCAACCTAAAGACACACATAAAGTCATCATCTAGAATGGCACAGAAGGTGAACTGCATCTCAGAAATACTGCATTAAATTAAGCCTGCATACAGCGTAGGATAGAAACAAAACAACTCACAGAGGGAGCAATGGGGGGTTAGCTTTCTGAGCATGTGACAAGCATAGTTTGATCCTTTCTGCTTTTTCTAAGTGTTAGATTTAAGAACATTTGTTTCAGTCTTGGAGAGTTTTTTAATCTCCTCTCCAAAGTTTTTGTTTAGAATAGCTTATTATTATGACATGGGAAAACTGGAAATATGAGTTACCTGCAAATTATTTCACAAATAAAGAAGCCAATCATGAGCCCCATCTGAGGGAAGACATTCACGTGCCATTGGAATATGAACAGTCTTGCTGATTTCCTGCTGGTCTACAGGTGAAGTGTATGACACACTGGACACCTCTGCCCATGAGATGCCTGGAAATAGCTGAGCAAAACCAGCTCCTTTTCACAGGGCTTATATCTGGAACAGTCCTTGTGAACTTCAGGCAGGATGTAGTATGCATCCCACCTCCAGAGTCACAGAAACCAGCCAACAACATGGCAATCAACAAGCAGGAAAAGCAGCTTACCATAGCATACAATGATTTAGTCCTTGTGTTGGATATTACCTCTGCAGATCCATGCCCACTGATCAACAGGCACACCTACACTTTTAAAACTCAGATCCCTGGCTCTCCAATTTCCAGAGTGGCTGTCCTTGCAGATTAGATTCCTCTACGGCATGACTAGTGGGGATTTATTCCTTTATGACTGCCCTCGGGCCCAAGTGTTTCCTTTGGAAGGTCACAGAAGGCAGATTTCTTGCTTGGAAAGCAGCCATGGAGAGCAGCGGGCACTCAGTGGACCTGAAGACTCCCTGCAGTGTCTCTGGGACTTGGAGCTCTGTCAGCAGGATTACTGCCCTGAGCTGTCAGGGAGGATCCAACTGACAGGATTCCCAGTTCTCCAAGAGAATACCCAAAACCTGTACATAGCTGTTCAGACGGGCAGCAAGCTATTCTCAGCATCTAGGTCTGATTTGAAAGCAGCCTTACATCTAGATAGCACTGACACCTTGAAAGTGTAAGTGAATGAGTGCTGTTAACACCACTCTGACACTAAACATGTCATAGGAGTTATTTATCTACATCTTATTGCTGCTCATTTAGCTGGTGTAAGCTAGATGACATCAATCAGTGAAGAGAACGAGACTTCACAAGTTATCAATAGCAACAGAAGAGGTAAATTGAGCCAGCTCAGGAGAATCCAGCAGGGGAAAAAAAAAAAAAAAAAAAAACATGATGGAGGTGGTTGGATCAATGCTATTATTCTTTCACCTGACAATACCACATGGACACAACTGAGTTACTCCTTTCCATAGGTGGAATAATGGGCTTTTGTAGTATCATACTAGGCTCTCCTTCCTGCACAGCTACAGAGTGCTTCACAAGCTAGGGGCTTTGTCCTGTGATACCTCCCATCCTCCTTTCAGGATCACTCTTGTAAAAATCTTTATTGCCTCTATTCTTAAGCACTGAATAACTACTGAATACTCTAAGGCATCTTCACTTCAACCTGTATTTACCAGTATAACAACATAATCCTAACCATCCATTTTCAGCCCATGTCTCTCTTGAAAAGCATTTGCTGTGCTTGCTTCTCAAGAGATAAGTACTTGTACGCTGGGTTACTGAATCAGTCCATTACAGCCCAGGATGTTGCAAGCGGTGAGTAATTGTGAAATGCTAGCAACAATGAGAAAATCTGTACTCTGCATTAAACAAGCTTGTAGCATCCTTCATGTCATAAGAAGGGAAATGTGCCACACAGCAACAGTTCGTGCAAGTATTGGAACAGAAGCTGGAATAGCAAATCCAGAGGTAGCGTGTTAGCATGGTGATGGAAGCTGCAATCGCAAGACAACAGTTGGAGTATTCCAGCACATAGTAGAGAAAAATATTGTGGGTTCAAATACCAGTAGCGAGTTTAAGCACAAAGCCGGAATGGTTTCTTCAAGTTTCTATTATGCAAATCATCCATAACGCTCTAAAGAGAAACAAGCAGCATGGCTTATTTTTTCCCCCCTCTCCTTGCTCTTCACATGACTCAGTTTTACTGAGTTCAGATTGGTGACAAGGGACCATTTCAGGACAATGGCATATTTTACACCTGATTCTACTGCACAGTAAATGCTTTATTCTGAGCTTGGTTTCCACCGGTGCCTTGCTGGCTGTGCAGTGTGCATACAGTACTGCTAGCAGAATTGTACCAACTGCAGACAGACTTGTTGCAATAACAAAAGTTAGTTATATAATTCGTGAGAAGTTTCCCTGTCCTAAGACCATCCACTCTCTGCATAACCCGCTCCAGAACATCACGGCAACATGTACAGTAAAATCCAGAAAGAAAGACAGGGAAGACTCAAGCAAGCAACAGTACCACCAAGGAAATTCTTCTGGGAGCCTGATTCATACCAGCACACTCTCTCAAATCTGTTCAGGGGTGTAGAAAGCAAAGATGAGTAGGACAAACCAGCATAAACACCCAGGACTGAGCTTGCGGGTTTCTATCCTTCTGCCTTAGTGTCTCAGAACTGCAATAGTAAACATTTGCTGAAAATTCCCTTGCTGTGATTATTTAGAGTCTATTGATATCTTGGCACATTAATAACCCCTTATGAAAGGTAAAGAAGGAAAAAAAAAAACGGAGGAAAAAAAAAAACGGAGGAAAAAAAAAAACGGAGGAAAAAAAAAAACGGAGGAAAAAAAAAAAACGGAGGAAAAAAAAAAAACGGAGGAAAAAAAAAAACGGAGGAAAAAAAAAAACGGAGGAAAAAAAAAACGGAGGAAAAAAAAAAAACGGAGGAAAAAAAAAAACGGAGGAAAAAAAAAAACGGAGGAAAAAAAAAAACGGAGGAAAAAAAAAAACGGAGGAAAAAAAAAAACGGAGGAAAAAAAAACACGGAGGGAAAAAAAACACGGAGGGAAAAAAAACACGGAGGGAAAAAAAACACGGAGGGAAAAAAAAACACGGAGGGAAAAAAAACACGGAGGGAAAAAAAACACGGAGGAAAAAAAAAACACGGAGGAAAAAAAAACACGGAGGGAAAAAAAAAAAACGAAGAAAAAAAAAAAACGAAGGAAAAAAAAAACGAAGAAAAAAAAAACGAAGGAAAAAAAAAAAACGAAGGAAAAAAAAAAACGAAGGAAAAAAAAAAACGAAGGAAAAAAAAAAACGAAGGAAAAAACCTAATCAAATCAAAACAAAACAAAACCGAAGGAAGAGCAAAAAAAACAAAACCAAACCAACTAACCAAAAAACAAACAAAACCAAACAATAAAACAAACAACAACAAAAAAACCCAACCAACCCACCCCCCACAACTCTAAGCCCACATTTTACCCAACTGCACCAGAGCTCAGGGCTGCCCGCTGACCTCAGCACTGCGGCCTTCCCCCGCCGGCCGGCGGTGCCCGGCACGCGGACACCGGGGCTTCGGGCTGCCGCTGCCCCCTCAGGGGCTGGGTTCCCGCCCGGAGCGCCTCACCCTCGCTGACCCGACCCGTCCCCTCAGGCCGCTCACCGGAGCCAGGTGAGCGCCGCTCCCCACCGTGAGGCGCGGCTCCCGCCATGACGGTTGAACGGCCGGAAGTAGCGCGCGCCCACACAGACACACGCGCGCGCGCGCTCCCGGGCGGCGCCGACGGCGGCCTCGAAGGTTCCGCCCCGCTGGCGCCGTGCGCGCTGACGCAGGCGCCTCCGCACGCGCTGACGGGGGCGGGGCCGGGCGGCGGGGCGGCGCGCGCTGGCTGCCCGACTCCCCAACATGGCGGCGGGGGGCGGCGGCGGTCGGGGGGGCAGCGCCCCGCGTTGGGGCGGCGGCGGCCGGGCAGCGGCGCAGGAGAAGCTGCCGGTGCATGTGAGTGCGGAGGACACCCCCGCCGGGGTTTTTCCCTCTTCCCCCGCCGCCGCGGAGGGCCGCTCCCTGCCGCCCGCGACCCCCCCCCCCCCAACCTCCCCGGCCCTGCTCGCCCCGCCGTCACCTGCCCCACCTCATCCGAACCCGGCCCCCGGTGCCCGTCCTCCTCTCGGCGGTACCGTGCGGTGTCCCGGGGCCTTCCCCGCCCCCCCCCCCCCCCGGTGCCGTGGGGTCCCCTGGGGCCTGCGCCCTCCCCCTCCGGTACCGTGAGGGCTCCCCGGGCCTGTCCCCCCTCTCCCCAATACCGTGTCCCCCCTCCCAACCCCAGCTGTTCTCCTCTGGCACCGTAGCTGTTCTCCTCTGGCACCGCAGCCATTCTCCCTGGGGACCTGTTGCCCTCTCCCTGGTACCGTGCCCCCTCCGTGCCTCGCTGTTCTCCCACCCTCCCCAGTACGGCGGAACCCCCCCGGGGCCAGCCTTCCCCAGGACATCCTCGTCTGGTGCTGTGGGCTCCCACCCCCCGGGGCCTGTACCCACCTCCCTCAGTGCCGTGGGGTGCCCCTGCCCCGTTTTGGGTTTGTGGGGTGCCCCAGGGCCTTTTCCCCCCTTTCTGGCCCTCACCCCAGCTCTCGCCTCGCAGGTGGAGGATGCACTTTCCTACCTGGACCAGGTGAAGATCCGCTTCGGCAGTGACCCCGCCACCTACAACGGCTTCCTGGAGATCATGAAAGAGTTCAAGAGCCAAAGGTAAAGCCCAGGCCCTGTGCCCCAGGGCTGCTCCGGGGAGCTCCTCAGCCTTTGCGGGGGTCTCTCTGTCTTTGCAGGGTCCCTCAGCCTTCACACCATCTTCCCACCTCTGCAGACACACAGGCTGCCCTGCCGGCCTGGCCCTCAGTAGTGCAGTCACTACACACTGGAGGTGGAGGGTCTCTGTCCATCCCATCCTTTTCCAGAGACGAAATCCACAGGAAAAGGCAAATCTATTTTTAGTTTCCTCTCTGAGATGCAGATCTGGAAAATAAGTGGAGAAGCTTGAGAGCAGAGCTTCTCTGTGAGCTGTCAGCCCTAGAGGTGATGTCTGTCTTGCCTGTTTTGGGTAACATGCACACTCATATCTCCTCCCTGCGGATGACACTCCCCGTATGAGGCTGCAGTGGTCGTTCCCTCTGCTTGGACTAATTTCTACATCTGAGGTTCTGAAACTTGCTTATTAAAAATTGCATCTCTGAGAAGCCAGATGCTTCACGTGGCTCTGTAATTTTCTAGGCTTAACTTGTATTTCTGATTTGGACATAAGTAACAAACTCTTCTCAATTTTAGCATTGACACACCTGGAGTAATCCGACGTGTTTCACAGCTTTTCCATGAGCATCCAGACCTCATTGTAGGATTCAATGCTTTCCTCCCTCTGGGCTACAGGATAGAAATTCCAAAGAATGGGAAGTTAAGTATACAGTCACCTTTGAATAGTCAGGTAGGTTATAGAGCTCATATTCTCTAAATAAATTGTGATGCTATACACATCTCTTGCACAGTGTAAGCCGTGTAGATTTACGTGTCTTGCATATTGCTGAAGTTTTTACATGGCTTTCAAATTCTATGGTAATGGTAGAACATAAATTTTAATATTTATTCTCAGACCAGTTGTTAGTTTAACACTAGAATTACAGTTTTTCATTCGAGTGATATTCCTGCATGAAGTGCCACTTCAAATACTTCAGTCAGATTTGAAAACTGAACTTGCAATTGGCTTGACACATTCTCAGTGTGTGGCGTGTGTAGTGACAAATTTCAAAAAGAGATCCTGGAAGAATCACATTTCCAGTTTTCCACTGAGAAACTGGGAAATGAGTTTAGGCAGTAGGCAAAAAATACGTCAGGTATTGCCATGCAGTTGCTAACGTCTTGCAGTGAAAAACATCTGCTGGAATACAGATGGATACATATTGGCCTCTGCTTCTTTTTTGCGGATGTTGTGTGGTTGTGGAGGCTGAAACAGAGCTAGTACCCAAATTGTACTGATAAACTTGTGGTAAATGTCTCTTCCATCTCAGTACCCTTAGATCTCTCTGTTGCTTAGAAATTCAGCGTCTTTAAAAGCCTTACGTTTTAATATTTTACTTAAAACTGACAGTTCCTCTGAAATAAAAGAGTGGTAACAGGAGCTG